AAATGTTCTTGTACAAGGAACCACATCTTTTTGTTTTAAATAGACTCTCCAGAGAACATAATGCTGCCCAATTCTGTGGCTGTTGAAGCATACATAAACTATCAGCAAAACACCGAGGTTATGCAGGCTGCATCCCAGACTGTCAGGAGCCTGGAAAAGCTTGCTGCCTATTTCCCTCACTACATACTCTACTCTACATGTACTAGTTTAAAAATATCTTCAATCCGTATTTCTATCCATGGACACAGCCAGGGGCTCCAGACACTTTGTGCTCCATGACTGGATCCATGATATGTATTAACATAAACAGTTCAACTTTACAGTAAATTGTTGATAGAATCACACTATTTCACTAGGAGGGTGGTGAAGCACTGGAATGCTTTACCTAGGGAGGTGGTGGAATCTCCTTCCTTGGAGGTTTTTAAGGCCCAGCTTGACAAAGCCCTGGCTGGGATGATTTAGTTGGGAATTGGTCCTGCTTTGAGCTGGGGGTGGGACTAGATGACCTCCTGAGGTCCCTTCCAACCCTGATATTCTATGATTCTATGATTCTATGACACTCACTACACACAGAATGACCAAGCTGGTTGGGGCATCAGAATAAACAGAGTGGATCCCCCTGGTTCTGCATATTTATTTCCACTGGGCGGAGTCTGAATGTTTTTCCTCAGAGATAAAAAGATGAAACAGTTTTTCAAATTTAAAAACATTTAACACTGTTGGGGAAACTCTTTTGTGTTCAGTGAATCATTCCCTTCGCTTTAGGGTTTTCCTAAGCCTGGGATCTGACCCACCAGTTAGGAGTTTCTATTATTCTCTTTCCTTCAGACGTTTGTGCACTTCCAGTGCAATATAAAAGCAGGCATAGGTCAATGTTCAAGATGGCTTCGTAAAGAAGGACACTGATTCTATAGCCAGTGTCTTACTACTAGCTCATAAGTTCTATATAGCTATCTCACAGCAGGGTACAACACTTCTCACCCAGGCTATTGAGGAAGAAAGCACTATCCAAACCCTGTGCATTGACATCCTGCAATGTCTGGACACCTCAGTCAGCGGAATGTCCCAAGTAAGTGACCTATTGCTACTGCTTCTTGAAATAGGGACGTTGTTCCTTGTACCTCTCCACAAGGAAGCTCTTTGCACAGTCAGCATAATGGAGGAACAACATATCAAATTCATGTCAGGGATAGTGTGACCCCTTCATCATGGAGTAAGTGGTTCACATTAGAGAAAAGATGTAAAGCAATTAACTGGAAGG